TCTATCAGGGATGGTCTAGACAGTATTTGGTCCTGCCATGCAGGCAGGGGACTGGACTCGATGACCTCTCGAGGTCCCTTCCAGTCCTAGAATCTATGAATCTATGAAAGGTTGAAAGAAGTGGGAATGTTTAGTGTGAAGAAGAGACGGCTGAGAGGAGATGTAAGTTTTCAAATACATAAAAGGTTGTTATAAAGAGGACAATGATCAATTTTTCTTTGTGTCCACCCAGGGCAGGACAAGATGTAATTGGCTTAGTTTGTGGCAAGAGATTCAGATTGGATATTAGGAAAAACTTTCCAACTCGAAGGATAATTAAGCAGTGTGACAGGTTACCTAGGGAGGTTGAGGAATCAACATCATTGCAGGCCTTTAAGAACAGGTTGGACAAACACCTGACAGGGATGGTCTAGGTTTACTTGGCCCTGCCTCAGTGCAGGGGATGGACTAGATGATCTTTTGAGGTCCCTTCCAACCTTCCATTTCTATGATTCTGTACCTGAACTGAAATATTTGGCTCATGTATCCATTTGTAAGACACTTAAGAGTAGCAGCTGATATGCTGGACTGCAGGATGCTTATAAAAGACCTTTGATCAGTTGAAATTGTCTTAAATAAGAGCTATCAACTGCATACTAGTTTTCCAGTCTTTCAGGAAAAGCAGCGGGCAAGAAAAAGAAAAATCTTTCAGCTCTTCATTATACATAAAGGAACACTTTGTTTCTCACTGCAGGTCCCTTTTAGGTTGTAGTATTGCAGGGTGGGGTAGTAGAGCTGGGGAGAGCAAAGCTGGAAGTGGGCTTTATAAGGCCTGCTTGAGCCATCTGCAAATGTGTTTTTATAAAGTCCATTATTTCTGGTTCATTTTACTCACACTGTGAGGGGTAAGAGACGATCCTAGTTCTCCAGGGTTTTTTTGTGTTTTTTGAAATGGATTTTATGACTGATACTTTTTTTGAATTTTGGGACAACTTTAAATACAGTGTAACATCTTGTACTGAGTGTTCTGGTCTGTTTCTAGTGATGCATAGTACAGTATACTGTTGTGTCTGAGTGTCTTTGTGTTACTGACACTTCCTGTCCCTGTTCATGTGCCATATGTTGATTACAGACAAAGACAGAAACAGAGAGGCAGGAAATTGTTTCTCATTTTGAACGACTTCATCAGATTGTGAAGGAGGAAGAGCAGCGTCTTCTGAGAGAGCTGGATGAGATGGAAAAGGTCATTCAGGAGTCAAAGAATGAATATGTTACTAAACTGTCCGAGGAAATAGCACGCTATGATAAATACATAACTGAGAGGAAGGAGGCGTGCAAGAAGACACCAGCGGAAATATGCATGGTCAGAGAAGTTGCATTCTAAGTATAGAAAAAAGGGAGGCTCCTTTGCCCTAACATGGGACTTCAGGGTTCTGAACTCGTTATCTATTTGTATTTTAGTGGAGTGCCAGCTCTACAACGTTAAGGTTTAGCATCACTTTCTGTTTAAAATCCAAGTGCTCTAAAATCCACATTTAATTTGGATGGTCTTGAAAATCACTATACCTGATGGGAGTACAAGGTAGAGTACTAGGTCCAAATTTTTGGTCATTTCAACAACATACAGTCCCGTCCCCCCCAAAAACAAACAAACAAACCCTAAAACAATAGTAATTACAAAATCATCGCGCTCTTCTGAAGTTTTTTTGCACACACTGGACTCTCTGAGTCTCCCCAAACTGAGATCATCCCTCTGGGGAAGCAATATTTCCAAAGCTATTCAGAGTGAAGTTTGGAACTGCAGATCAGTTCTAGTTAAGCTGGTGTGCTAAAGTCAGTAAAGTGTGCACATGCAGCAAGAGAAGGTCTGTTGCAAGCTGGAAGGGTTGTAGGCAATCTGTAATCACAGTGAGTGAGTGTCTCAAGGTGACATCCCCTGAACCTGAAAAACACCCATACACGGTGAGTCTGAGTCCTTCCTTTGGGAGCTTTCAGGGAATCTGCGTTGTTCCTTGCATTGTGCAGGGGCCATTTTTGGACATTTTGCCCTGAAACCAAAGTTTCTGGTTTGAGCCGTATTTCAAAGTGCGTTAAAATCCCCATGCAGACTCTGATTTTACTTTAGAAATAATGTCAAGGAAATTAGAAGTGTCTAGTAAGCAGTTAGGATAGTGTAATTGGGCTCCTCAATCACTTACTTAACAATGAATTGAGTGTGATCAGAGGAAAGCAAGTCATTGGGTCATTTGGTCAAGGGATGGACAGACAGCCCCTTTCAAGAGCTGTTCATAACATTTTCAGATTCTTAAAACTCTTTTGGTGCAGAGCTAGGAAATGGGTGTGTGTTTGGTGAGGGGGTTGTTGGAGCAATGCAGAGGGCTGGGGAGCTGGGAGGGTGCAGAGCAATGGCTTTCATCCCTTGCCAACCTTTGCCCCTTAGGGCTGTGCTCTGGCACAGCTACCGAGGGGCCCACACCCTTGTTGTGTAATGGATTGTCCAGTCAGTGTTTTTGAAAATCCAGTTCAATGACTAGAGCTTTGACGAGGAACTGGATTTCCAAAAGTCATTTTTCTATAATCCCTCAATGACTAATGGATCATCCTTAAGGGATCCATTGTTCTCTGGGAGCTCAGAAGTGTGGACAGGAGGAAATTTGGGCATGTTCCCTTTTAGTGACATGCTGTGAGAGAAGAAAAGTGGAGCCATTTCTGCCCTCCCCCCTTTCCTTACAAATATTCCCCCCACACACACATCCCTGAACAGTTCCTCCCCCTGGGTGATCCACTGGGCTGAGGGAAGGGATTCAGGGGCTTCCCTTTCCTCCACTGCACCCCAGTCAGGGGAAGGAACCCAGAACCTCCTCCTCAGGCTGCCCCCCATCAGCAGGGAAGGAGATCCGGGCTCACCCTCCTCTCCCCTGCCCCCCATCCCTCCCCATGCTGCCATTCCTTGGAGATCAGAGCAGTGTGTGGGGAGGCAAAGAGGTGGTCAAACCTGTGCAGTGGGGGGACGTAGGGGGCTTCAGCTCTGCCTCCCAACATCCATACATCCCCCATTTCTGTCCTTCCTTCAAAACATGCCCCCCAGTGCTGAGACTGTGATGGGGAGCTGGAAATAAGCATGTTCAGTGCATGGCACAGGCACAGTGCTACGATGGGATAGGGAGCAGAGAACAAGCATGCTTGGAGTATGCACCAAGTTCTGTGCTATGCTAACACCTGGTTGAGGAGGTGAGAACAGGCACATTGGTGCATGGCACAGGCCTACAAGCACTGGCAGTGATGTGAGATGAAACACCCACTGAGATGAATGGAGCAGTCACACCTCTCATAGATATCATTTCAGGCTGTGTTCATCTGCATGGTGTTCCCATTTCACAGCTCTTTCAGCTTCCTGTGCTGCTGATGTATGCAAAGGGGCTCTATACATCCTAGGCCCAGACTTAGAGTAGAAGCTCTGCAGGCTTGTCTACACTGCATAGTTAACTCGGGCAAGTACTTGAATGTTTGCCCTAACTTGAATCCTGTCCACATACAAATCATGTCACTGAAATATGGAGGTGCTTTTTACTCGAGTAGCTTTGCTCAACCAGGGGTATAGGGTAGTGTTTGAGTGAACCCAACTGGCTACCTGGTAACATGACCACACTGCAGTGTGGATGGAGGTGTAGATTACTCAAGTGATGCTAGTTGTCCAATGTCTTCCCACAGTTTCTCTGGGCCATGTGAGCAGTCATTTTTTTTTATCCTGTCTGTTTCTCCCCTACTTCCAGATCAGAAGTCACTTGGCCCCTCTTATAGGGCTGTTCTTCTTTGAGTAATGTCTGTATGGGTGCTCCGCTTCAGGTGTGCATGTGCCCCGCCCCACATGCCTTTGGTTAGAGCCATTTGGTTGCAATGACTGTTCCGGCTTCACATGCACTCTAGCTATCCTCGTGCCTCATACGGAGGGTATGTAGAAGAGTGTCGGACAAACCACGCTCAGTTCCTTCTCAATTGCCTGGCCTGAGACGGAGCGACTAGTGGTGCCTGCTTTGACCTAGCTTACCTTTTAATACATCAGCTTAGTTTAGTTTTGCATAGGTTAGTTTTTTCTAGTATAGTTGAGAGTTTTTATCAGGGGATTTGATCATCATCCTGCCACCTGCCCCCAACCTTCTGGAGATTCTCTCCCATTTTTTTTATCTCATGGGAGCAGATTACTTCCAGTTCATGTGTATGCCTGTGCTACCCCCCTTCCACATCCCTTTTCAAGGACCCATTTCATGAACATTTGCTGGAGCAAGAAGTCCTGTCTCTCCTCTACACAGGAACTGTAGAACCAATAACCGCCCAGCACAGAGGGAGGGGATTCTATTCCAAATACTTTCTGGTTCCCCAAAAGAAGGGCAAATGGAGACCAATCCTAGCTCTCGGCATGTTGAACATTTTCATCAAGATTCAGGTGGTCAGGAGAGTGACACTCACAGCTATAATATCATCTCTAGATCGAGGGAATTGGTGCAGAGTTGTCAACCTAGAGGCTTCCATGCTTCATGGTTAGTCAGGAACACTTCCAATATCTATTGCTTCCCTTTGGACCCTCTACCACCCTCAGAATCTTCACAAAGGTTCTAGTGTTGGTAGTCGCTCGAACTATATCGAACGGGAGTAATCCTCTTCCCATACCTCAACAATTGGCTCCCCAAGGGCCACTCTTTCATCCAAGTCCAGTCTGCAGTAAAGAAAGTTGTCACTATTCAACAACCTAGGACTTCAGCTCAGCAGGACTTCTCACCTATTCAACTAATAGAATTCATAGGAGCCACTCTGGATGCCATAACATCCAGAGCCTAGTATCAGTGGGTAGCCGTGTTAGTCTGTATCTGCAAAAACAACAAGGAGTCTGGTGGCATCTTAAAGACTAACAGATTTATTTAAATAAATAAATCTGTTAGTAAATAAAATTTATTTTATTTAATATAAATAAATCTGTTAGTCTTTAAGGTGCCACCAGACTCCTTGTTGTTTTTATCCAGAGCCTACTTACTGGTGGACAGATTTCTGATATTAACAAATCTGAGCGCCCAAGTCCAAATGAGTCCACAACGATCAGAACTTGCCTGCAGCTCCTAGGTCACATGGCAGCCTACATCTTTGCTACACTTCATGCTAGGTTGCATTTTTGCGGCTTTCAGGGATGGTTAAGAACTGTTGACACCCCCAACAAATGCAGTTTGAACAAACTAGTGTCTGTTCCTTATCAAGCACTGGTGTCACTCAGTTGTTGGAAAGACCCAGACAGAGTGTGGGACCACAGTACAAGATCCATCTCTCGTAGCGTGTGGAGCTCATCTTCAAACTCAACCAGTCCAGGCAAATGGACGACCCAGGAGTCTGTTCTTCATATCAACCACCTAGGAATCAGAGCAGTCAGATAGCCTGCAGACATTTCCTACCCATGATCAAGGGCCAATCCATCAGGTCATGACAGACAACAAGGTCACCATGTACTATGTATATCCATCAAGGAGGAGCAAGATCCCCCTCCCTTTGTGCAGAAGCTCTCAATTTAAAACTTTAGAACTGGTGTATGGCCAACCAAATCTCCATGTACTTATAAGGCCTTTGGAACGCAATAGCTGATAATTTGAGCAGATTTTTCTGCCTGGATCATGAGTGGGAGATTCACAACCTATTTCGCAAACAGACATTCCTCACCCAGGGGTTTCCAGAAATAGGCCTCTTCGCCACCACCAATAATAGAAAGCGAATGAAATTTTGTTCAGTTGGAGGCCTAGGCTGCCACTCTCTGGGAAACACTTCCTTCATCTCCTGGTCAAAAAATCTCCTTTACACCTATCTGCTGATGCCACTGCTTCTCACAGTCCTAAACAAAAACAAGCATGAGAGTGCCAAGGTCATCGTAATTGGACCAACTTGGCCGAGACAGATATGGTTCCCCTACCTGACTCAACTCTCCTCTCAACCTGCAACGCAACTATCAACTGTAGCTGACCTGCGAAATCAGGATTTGGGTCATATCCTCCACTTCAGCTTAAACACATTGCTGGGGGATAGCTTCCAGATGATTCTTGGGAGTAGAGGTCTCATCTGTTCTTGAGACATACAACAGGTATTGCTAAATAATAGGAAACCCTCAGTGAGGAAAACTTACCTGCAGAAATGGAAGAGATTCCACCATTGGTGCATCCAACAGCACTTATCCCTAGTTGATTCCCCATTTTTGGATATTTTGGATTACCTCCTAGATCTGAAGAAGTCAGACCTTTCTTTAAATTCCATCAAAGTTCACTTAAGGGCCAGCACAGCTTTCCATTCTGCAATAGAGGTGTTCTCAATGCCCTCGGTGCCGAGCTTCTTTAGAGTGAGCACCTTCGATAAACCGGGCATGTCCGGCACTGTCCACCAAGGGACCTTTGCTGGAAAAGTTAAGGAGTCGAGCAGCAGGCACCATTCAGCCTCCTCCTCCTGCTCTATGGCACCGTCTACCCCAGCGAAGGGAATGGCACCGCAACCGATGCTGCAAATCATGGCGTCCCCTCCAGCACAGATGATAGTGGCACAGAGCATAGAACAACCTCATCAAGACACCACGGTGCTGAGAAAAGCCACACAGAAGCGATTGGCACCGAAAGGGCGGCACCGCAAACGGCAGCACCGATGTCTGCCAATTAAACCGCAACAACTCAGATTGCATCTGCACCGAGCTCTCCTGTACTCGGCACCATAGATTCGTCCATACCTATGGCACCAGACCAACCCCACTTTTCCATCACACCACCATTTTCAAGTGATGATGAAGAGGGAGCTGTCTTCTTTTCTGGCCGTTCTTCCCCAACAGCTACCAAATACAAAAGAAATTCAGACCCAAATAAATGTCTACTACCATGGCTGGCTAACCCATGTATATACCCATGCCATTCCAGCTACAATGGGCACAATGGGACCCATGGGCAGCTTTTGAGGCGCAATTCCAACAGCCTACATCCGCGCACAGAAAAACCATAAAATCAGCACCGACTTCAGTACCCAAGCCCTCTGAAGCCACAGAGGAAGGGAAGAAGAAAGATAGAACACATCAGAACATGGTGAATCTCTAGAACACAACGCCTCATCCTTTCCAGATGAAGCAGTTATACCCACAACTATAACAGCACCTGACGACTTCAAACACTTCCAGGAGCTTTTCAGGCGAGTGGCACAGAGCCAGAACATCCTTCTAGAAGAAGTACAGGAGGCTCAACACCAACTCCTGAAAATACTCCATACATCAACTTCCTCCAAGATCATCATCCCCATCAATGATACCCTCCTGGATCCGGCAGACACAGTGTGGCAAACACTGGCCTCCGTCCCACCAGCCAACAAGCACACGGATAGGAAATACCAAGTGCCAAATAAAGGGATGGAATTCCTATTTGCGCACCCACCACCAAACTCCTTAATGGTGGATGCAGTAAAACAAAGAAACAAACAATATAAATCTACTCCTCAAGACAAAGAATGGAAGAGACTGGATCTTCTAGGTTAAAAGTCACACTGCAATTCCGCACTGCAAATTACACTGCACTACTGGCAAACTACAATCATGACAATTATAACAAATTCACGGAATTTACCCAGGATATACCTGAGGGGAAAAGAGAACAATTCTGAGCCATTGTGAATGAAGGCCAGCTTACCTCCAGGACAGCACTACAGGCTGCCCTCAACACGGCAGACACAGTAGCTCGCACGACGGCAACAGCCATTGTAATGCGCAGGGCATCATGGCTACATTCATCAGGAATCCCTAGAGAATTGCAACACAAAGTGGAAGACTCTTCAACAGAGACAAACTATTTCCGGCCAAAACCGACCAAGTCCTCTACTCCATGAAATACTCCAGGGCGACCCTCAGAACATTAGGGCTATACACAACCCCAAACAGGAGATGATATCAGCCATACAACAGAAACCGAGACAACACGTCTCCGCGACAGCAGAGATCATACAAAGCGAGGGGACAAAGAAATAGACCACAAAGACGCTGACAGAACCAACCCCAGAATTCAGTGTCTCAACCAACACCAGAGCAAACTGCAATTTTAAAGCATTGGTCAAGGGTCTGCACGACCTCTCTATAACACCAGCGTCAGCAGATAACCCCCAAATCTTTGGGCACCGACTCAGGCCATTTTACACCAACTGGGCCTTGATCACATCCAATCAGTGGGTTTTAGAACTAATTCTAATGGGCTATACCATCTCTTTTTTACATCTCTCCGACCTACTCACCCCCCTTCCCCGTCCCTCTTCAGGGACCTTTCTCACAAGCATCTATTGAGACAAGAGGTACATCATCTTCTGCAAATAGGCGTGGTGGAACTAGTCCCAACACAACACAGAGGGAAGGGATTTTATTCCCATTACTTTCTGACTCAAAAGAAAAATGGGGGCTGGAGACCCATCATAGCCCTAAGAAAACTCAACAAATTCATCTGTGCCCACAGATTCAAAATGGTCACCCTGAACTCGATCATCCCTGTGCTGGAAGAAGGGGACTGGTTCGCAGCCCTTGACCTACACGATGCATACTTTCACATTACAATCTACCCGGCTCACAGACGCTTTCTAAGGTTCACAGTAGAACAAGAACACTTCCAATACAGAGTGCTACCGTTCGGCCTATCAACATCACCGAGTGTGTTCACCAAAACACTGGAGGTAGTAGCAGCGCACTTACGCAGACAAGGGATACTCATTTCCCTTACTTATATGACTGCCTAATCAAGGGCGCCACAAAGACAGAAACAGAAAGAGGTGTTCAATTAACCATCTCCCTCTTCTAATCCTTGGGGCTACAAATCAATGATAAGAAATCCACCCTCACTCCAGTACAACAACTGGAATTCATAGGTGCTCGCCTGGACTCACTCACGGCCAGAGCATCCCTTCCAGAGCCCCGCTTTACAACGATGAGCTCCCTTATATCTGTGGTCTCGCACAGCCCATGGGTGCATGCACGCACCTGCTTACAACTACTGGGGCACAGGGCGGCCACCACATTTGTGGTCAAGCACACCAGGTTACACATGCGGTGCCTACAAAGATGGCTAAATACAGTCTACATACCATGAAGGCACAGCCTAAACAAGAGAATCACACACACCCCATAGAGGTGATTCAATCACTGCACTGGTGGACGAACCCATCAAACGTGTGCTCAGGCATACCTTTGCAACAAGAACCACCATCTGTTCAGATCATGACAGATGCCTCCCTGATCGGATGGGGGGCTCACCTGAACCAACATCCCACCCAAGGCAAATGATCCCCCGCAGAAACACATCTACACATAAACCTGCTAGAATTATGCATGGTCCTCAATGCATG